ACCAGCTTAGATAATTGTGCATGTGTCTGTGTCGTGTGTGTTATGATGTCGTATGTGTTTGTGTGATAATGTGTGTATGTGTTTGTTTGGTGTTATGTCTGTGTTTGTTTGGTCGTATGTCTGTGTTTGTTTGGTTGTATGTCTGTGTTTGTTTGGTGGTATATCTGTGTTTGTTTGGTGTTATGTCTGTGTTTGTTTGGTGGTATGTCTGTGTTTGTTTGGTGGTATGTCTGTGTTTGTTTGGTGGTATGTCTGTGTTTGTTTGGTGTTATGTCTGTGTTTGTTTGGTGGTATGTCTGTGTTTGTTTGGTGGTATGTCTGTTTGTTTGTTGGTGTGTGTATGGGATTGTATGATTGTGAGTCGCTGTTTGCTAACCTAACCTAACCTAACCTAACCTAACCTAACCTAACCTAACCTAACCTAACCTAACCTAACCTAACCCCCTATGATTGTTGCCATAACTATCACTATGGGCGCCACAGATGATAACAATTACCTGTGTGGGGTGAAAAAGATTTAATTATGATTATTAGTTGTGTTAATTGCCCTGGAAATAATTTAACCTGTATCTCATTATTAATTACTTCTTTCCTGTATGTTGGAAGCGTTCATGTGGGTATACAGTTCAGCATGTATATGTACAATACAGGTATACATTAACAGTGTAGATAGATGGACATAAATATTAACCTTAGTGTTTAGGTTAAAATATTTATTAAAAAACTCTTTAATATCTGTATTATTTTATTAAACTATTATGTATAAATGAAGAACAGATTTTCTTGAGTAGATGTTGTGAATAAATGTATAATGTTATGTGAATCGGTTTATTGTGTATATTATTCAGTGCAACTATTAACTGATGGTAGTAGTGGCTTGTTAGGTAGTTGTTTATGAAGGCCTGTGATTGGTTGGTAGGTAGATGAGGGGCGTGGCAAGTTATTATTATGAACGGAAACTTGGGAGGTGACTGACTCATCTTCTGGCCGTCCATTAGTGCCCAAGACCAACTGGGTGACACACACACACACACACACACACACATCATAAGCCAATGGGGTGAATGTATCCCAGTATCCATTGCATGTGACCTCAAAAACAAGTCTCTGAAATCGGTAAAATCTCATCTCGGGGGAGGAGGAGGGTGAGGAGGGTGGGAGGAGGGTGTGAGGGAGGACGGGTGGAGGAGGGAGGAGGACGGGTGAGGAGGACGGGTGGGGAGGAGGAGGGGGGTAGGAGGGGGTGGAGGAGGAGGGTGGGGGGGGAGGAGGGGTGAGGGGGGTAGGGGGGGAGGCTGTAATATAAGGGTTCACTACACTCGCCCCTTTGAACACCTCCCAACAATATTCATGAATGCGGCCTTGGCAGGAAGTGTATAATACAAGTAATGGTTAACACTCACTTAGATCAAGGATGAGCAACAAAGCCATTAAGTGCCTATTATTATTATTTTTTTTATTCTGTTTGCTTCTGTGATTGTTATTAATATTAATATTTTTTATTGTTATTAATATTATAATAAAATATTGTAATTGTTATTATTACAATTAATAATAATAATAATAATAATAATGTTTGGTGGTCATCTTTATATAGAGTGTAAACTGTGTTCATATTAACACCAGTAAAGTTAGTTAAGGTTTCAACACCCGACTCTTGACTGTGGTCCCCAGGTGATGTCCTCAGAGGATGGGGCGTCTCTCTCGTCCGTGGAGCTGACACTGCCTCACATCGCCCGGGAGGTGCTCAGACGAAAGGCCCTGGCCCACGTCCATGTTGAGGTGAGTACTGACTTATGTGGGACCCTAACCACGTCCCTTAGACACAAGGCCCTGGCCCACGTTTTTGTTGAGGAGTGTTATGACTGCTGTGTGTGGGGGCCCTAATCATGTCCCAAGGCCCTGAGTTATAACTGCTGTGTTTGGGCCCTAATCACGTCCTAAGGCCCTGAGATGCAAGGGTCTGACCCACGCCTTTTGCGAGGTCAGTGCGTTATACCGTATTTCCGGCTGTGGTTGCCCTTGGCGGTAACATTGGGGGCCTTACCCTCCAGTGTACAGGGTGACTCTCACGTCCAAGTAACATTTCTTGAACTTGATAAATACTAAAATTCAAGTGGTGATAATGTGTCCGTGTTGGTGGTCAAATTGTTTCCTTATCTACATTAAGCTGCTGTCTACGCTAAAGTCTACTAGGAGATGGAGAGTGTAGGAGCCTAAATAAGACAACAAACAACGAAATACTCCGCCTGTACATTGAAATTCGCACCTCATCTGCATTTATAGTTGAGAAAATTTTCGTAAACATTGACCGGTTGAATCCATACACTACGCCTTATATAATTGTGGTAACGTATAAAGGGCGGGAAAGGAGCGCTTATTGATTGACCTTACTGGGGTAATTTATCGCCATTAGAACCTCAACATGAAGACAAGGTCCATCTGATTTTAATAAAGACTAATATGAAGTGTACCTGTAATCTGCGTCAACATGGTAATTAGCGTACCTGTATTCTACGTCAACATGGTAATTAGCGTACCTGTATGCTACGTCAACATGGTAATTAGCGTACCTGTATGCTACGTCAAAATGGTAATTAGCGTACCTGTATGCTACGTCAACATGGTAATTAGTGTACCTGTATTCTACGTCAGCATGGTAATTAGTGTACCTGTATTCTACGTCAGCATGGTAATTAGTGTACCTGTATGCTACGTCAACATGGAAATTAGCGTATCTGTATTCTACGTCAACATGGTAATTAGTGTACCTGTATTCTACGTCAGCATGGTAATTAGTGTACCTGTATTCTACGTCAGCACACACAATAACACTACCTGTAGTTTATAAAAGCTCATTGCTGCACATTAATAACTGCGAATACCAATCTAGTTTACAGACAATAATTCAGCTGGTTGCGTCTATTACTCTGTGTGTGTGTGTGTGTGTGTGTGTGTGTGTGTGTGTGTGTCTGTGTGTGTATTTTACAGCGACTATTTTGGGTAGAGATGACACCGATTAGATGTTATCGTTATCGGCAAGTAGTTGTTTACTCGTATTACCTACCTTATTAAGTAATTAATATTGTATACTGATGTTAGTTACCTTGGTAATGAATACAACAGGTAGTTATTGGCCAAGATAAGGATCAAATTGCTTCCTAAGACACAGCTACCATGATTACTCGATGATGTAACCTCAGATATTCCACTAGAATATATATTTTTTTAGTTTGATAATGTGTTACTAGGAGATGCTTAATATCATAGTGCTGTACTGTACATTAGTGTGGCTGCTGATGAATATTAATACCCTATAGTTTGCTTCTGGTGTGTTGAGTGTGACGGTTTAGTTGACAAGGCAAGATGTGATCAAGTATTGTTACTATACTGTCATATTATAGTCAAAACAAGGACGTAAAACACCTTTTGGATCAATGATTTTTGTCTGTCCTTTTTCTTACGGCAATTATGTCTAGCATCACCTTCAGTTACTACACAAAAGAGAGTTGTACGGACAATGACCGACTTGAAAAAAAAAACAGATCACACAAACGAAAAATTTGCTAAATTGAAAATGTTAAAATTCAAAGATATTAACACTTACTGCTGTGCCCTCTTTGTTTACAAATATATCAATCACTTGCTTGACAATAATTATTTCCAGTTCCGGAATAATCAGAGATGCAACTTAAGGCACCCAGAGCTACTAAGACCACCCCCCGTGCGCTCCTCTCAGTCCCAGACCTTCTGTAGGATACTGGTCTTTTTGGTCTCTTCGTTGTCCAGAGTATATCGGTACAGACCTGTTTAACCAAACCTGCCGCAGCCTATGATGGGGACGAGGCCAAGTCTGTCCCAGGAGAGGCGGGGCAGTTATGTTAATATGTAAGTTTGACGGAAGGGTTGGTGTTGGGTGAGGAAGAAGTGGAGGAGGAGTGGGAGTCTTGGGAGGAGGTGGAGGAGGACTTATAATCATCATCAGAGGAGGCGACAGTAGGGGTCACAGGAAGCTCACCATCATCAACATCATCTTCATCATCATAATCATCATCATCATCATCATCATCATCATCATCATCTTCATCAACATCATCATCATCATCATCATCATCATCATCTTCAACAACAACATCATCATCATCATCATCATCATCATCATCATCATCATCATCTTCAACAACAACAACATCATCATCATCATCATCATCTTCCCTCACCTTCTTCGGGGAAACATTTGGTGAGGTCGCATGTTTCGTTCCTCGACTTTCACACATATTGAAGTTATATTATAAAGACTTTAACGAAACCACAACGAAGTAAAGCAGAAAATCGAATATTCTTCTTTATAGGAAGAAGTGGCGGAAAGGATAAAGGTAAAGTAAAGAGTGACTAACTCTTTATAAACGTAATAACAAAAACTTAAGTTTATCCTTCAAGTATACACGTTTTCTCTTACACAATCAGTATAGAAAGAACAAACTTAACGGGAACTTCTCTAAATTATAGAAAAGTAACACCCAATTGTAATTTAATAATAATTGACATTCAGTCATTAAGACCAAGAAAAACTGATACGCTGTATATATTATCTTTAAGCAAAAGTAAAAATTACCTGAGAACAAATAGAAAAATTCTTACTGGTTGACAAACTACGAACGTTTCGCGTTGTCGGCGCATGACGCCCAGATTTTCACTCCCAGCACCTGTTTTTGACCTTCCTTTTATCCTCGCTCTCCTCATTTTCATTTCATCCTTCGCTACCTTCCTTGCTCCCTTACCGTCATACCTGGTTAACGTAGACAGCCCGGGTTCGCTACAGTTGCCTCAGAAACCCGGTTGAAGGTGGCAGCTGTAGTCTGATGATATCTGTCTTCTACCAGGGTGTGTAGATATGTCCTTATTATAACTCTTTTCATGTGTGTGTGTGTGTGTGTGTGTGTGTGTGTGTTTGTTTTATCTGAGTAACATAAATATCAGGAGTATATACGATCAACACCTACTTTTTATAATCAATATTTATTTCGTAATCGAATACAAAATGATAGATCATTCAGCCTAAAGGATCCTCTAGTGACTAGTGCCAACACCACCACAGTTACACACATCTCATAAATGATGTTTGGATCTTTTTTTTTTTTAATAAACTCTTTGATCATTTGTTGTATGAATATGTTAGTGGGATGCCTTGGCCATGTTAGTTCAGATATGAACACGGAAAAAACAACAGAGGCTAGACTTGGGTAGATGTATTGAGAGCTAATGTGGTGAGGGACAACAGAGGCTAGACTTGGGTAGATGCGGCGGGTCCGACGCTCCTGATGATCTCCATGGTCTGGTTAGAGCTGAACGGACACTTCTGGTAAGTGTTGGCACAGTCCTCGACAGAGCCAGTCTGGCGGCCCAGGAAGAAGGCCCGCTGAAAGGTGGTGGCTGGACTGTTGAGCTGGTTGTGGTTGAGGCTGCTCTGATCCTCAATGAAGGATATGAGCAGATCCTCGTCAGGAGCCAGCTGGGCCTCGGGGGTGGCCGCCAGCTCGCACACCAACCGTTGGCCACAGTTGGTCTCTTGGTCTAAACTTTCGGCAACGGCAAACAGAGCCTCTAAAGCGCTGGTGGAGAAGCTTTCGTCAGGCAGCTGTATTGCTTGACGCACGAAGCGGTGGTGAAATTTGGGAGTCAACACTTTGGCCTTCTTAACAGTAGCGAGGCCAGCGGCTCCAAGAAGAAGGCCAGTGCCGCCGATCAGCGCCAGGGTAGGGTTAGCGATCGTCACTCCCACAGTCACTGCCGTCGTCAATATGAAGGGCGTCACCAGATCCAGCAGGACGACCAGGACGGCGCCTGTGAGCCATTTCTTCAGCTGCATATTGTCTGGCGAGGAGAGAGACTTTACTGTATACATGTATGTTGTCTGGCGAGGAGAGAGACTTTATTGTATACATGTATGTTGTCTGGCGAGGAGAGAGACTTTACTGTATACATGTATGTTGTCTGGCGAGGAGAGAGACTTTATTGTATACATGTATGTTGTCTGGCGAGGAGAGAGACTTTACTGTATACGTGTATGTTGTCTGGCGAGGACAGAGACTTTACTGTATACGTGTATGTTGTCTGGCGAGGAGAGAGACTTTACTGTATCGTGTATGTTGTCTGGCGAGGACAGAGACTTTACTGTATACGTGTATGTTGTCTGGCGAGGAGAGAGACTTTACTGTATACGTGTATGTTGTCTGGCGAGGACAGAGACTTTACTGTACGTGTATGTTGTCTGGCGAGGACAGAGACTTTACTGTATACGTATGTTGTCTGGCGAGGACAGAGACTTTACTGTATACGTGTATGTTGTTCGACTTTACTGTATACGTGTATGTTGTCTGGCGAGACAGACTTTACTGTAGTGTATGTTGTCTGGCGAGGAGAGAGACTTTACTGTATACGTGTATGTTGTCTGGCGAGGAGAGAGACTTTATTGTATACGTGTATGTTGTCTGGCGAGGACAGAGACTTTACTGTATACGTGTATGTTGTCTGGCGAGGAGAGACTTTATTGTACATGTATGTTGTCTGGCGGACAGAGACTTTACTGTATGTGTATGTTGTCTGGCGAGGACAGAGACTTTACTGTATACGTGTATGTTGTCTGGCGAGGACAGAGACTTTACTGTATACGTGTATGTTGTCTGGCGAGGACAGAGACTTTACTGTATACGTGTATGTTGTCGAGGACAGAGACTTTTACTGTATACGTGTATACAGAGACTTTACTGTATACGTGTATGTTGTCTGGCGAGGACAGAGACTTTACTGTATACGTGTATGTTGTCTGGCGAGGACAGAGACTTTACTGTATACGTGTATGTTGTCTGGCGAGGAGAGAGACTTTACTGTATACATGTATGTTGTCTGGCGAGGAGAGAGACTTTATTGTATACATGTATGTTGTCTGGCGAGGAGAGAGACTTTACTGTATACATGTATGTTGTCTGGCGAGGAGAGAGACTTTATTGTATACATGTATGTTGTCTGGCGAGGAGAGAGACTTTACTGTATACGTGTATGTTGTCTGGCGAGGAGAGAGACTTTACTGTATACGTGTATGTTGTCTGGCGAGGAGAGAGACTTTATTGTATACATGTATGTTGTCTGGCGAGGACAGAGACTTTACTGTATACGTGTATGTTGTCTGGCGAGGAGAGAGACTTTATTGTATACATGTATGTTGTCTGGCGAGGACAGAGACTTTACTGTATTCGTGTATGTTGTCTGGCGAGGACAGAGACTTTACTGTATACGTCATGAGGCTAGTTTAGGTTAGATTTGGTTAGGTTGGGTTTTGTTTAGTTAGCTTAGGCTGGTTAGATTTAGTTAAGTTAGGTGGAGTGAGGTATGGTTAAGTAAGTTAGATTAGGTTAAATAGGTTAGGTTAGGCTAGATGAGGTTAAGTAGGTCAAATTAGGTTAAATTAAGCAAGTTGGGTCTAGGTTAGAATTAGGTTAAGTTAGGTTAGGTTAAGTTAGACGTAAATATAAACATTACTAAAATACACAGATGTTGGTGGTAAAATATAAACTATGAGCAGAACAAAGTACAGGTGAGTGAACTACTAAGCTAATGAGGAACGAGAAGAGAGACAGACTAGGAAGGAAGTGTTTGTGGATGTGGGAGAGCTAAATAAACCAGAGAATTAGGAAAGGTGAAAAAACACTAGAATAAGGAGTGATTAGTGAAACAGAGAATGAGTGAGGAGACAGATAAACAGAGGAGTTGGGAGATATAGGTAAATTTACTGACTCGCCTCACAGATCACCAACTGACTCGCTTCACAGATCACCAACTGACTCGCTTCACAGATCACCAACTGACTCGCCTCACAGATCACCAACTGACTCGCTTCACAGATCACCAACTAACTCGCCTCACAGACCACCAACTAACTCGCCTCACAGATCACCAACTGACTCGCTTCACAGATCACCAACTGACTCGCTTCACAGATCACCAACTAACTCGCTTCACAGATCACCAACTAACTCACCTCACAGATCACCAACTGACTCACCTCACAGACCACCAACTAACTCGCCTCACAGACCACCAACTAACTCGCCTCACAGATCACCAACTGACTCGCTTCACAGATCACCAACTGATTCGCCTCACAGATCACCAACTTACCTGCACTCTGAAGGAAATTTGCTAAGGAACTGGACAGCTGAGCGAGTGGAGAGGTTGTGGGTAATTGAAGCCTGTGTCCTGTTTATATACCATATGTGTAGTGGAGGTTCAAGGTGGGTGAAAGAAAGAAAACGAAGGAAGGGGCATTGTGGTGGTAAACAAGGTCACACACACACACACACGCACACACGCACACGCACACACACACACACACACACACACACACACACCAAGCCAATGTTTACAATGCCCTCCGCTTGTTGTATGTTTCTTTGGATATCGTAATTATTTCCACCGTGTTCCTGATTATTATTACCGTATAAATAAAAACCCAGGCGATATCACCAAGAAATCTTACATAATAATAATAATAATAATAATATCCCAGGTTAATGAAAATAATTATACCTCGACTGTTATGAGAAAGTTTAAACATTACTCAACTTAAAGTATAGAATAGTGAAAGTATCTATAGATAGTAAATAGATATATAGATAGATAACTAATAAGTGTATTGTATAAAAGATTACTAAAGCAGCGTTCATCAGATGTAAACGAGTATGACCCACAAGTAAATGGGAGATATTTTAAAGTGTTTCGGGAATAATGGCTTCAACTATGCATACATTTTCCCCTCTAATATATTATTTACAGATAAATCCTTCAAATTTTGAGTATATGGGCAACACTCGGATGTTGCCATATACCACGTCATGTATTTCCACTGAGGGACCCATAGTGGTCATACAGCTATATATTAACACACAATAACGTCATTATCTGGCAATTATAGGAGTGACCTAGTTGGTTTCTATAGCATTCTTTTGTCCTTTGTGTGAGAGTATCCATAGCGCGTAATTAGTCTTATTGTTCTATACTGTACTGTGTAGAAATGAAGGGTTGAAAGAAAACGGGAATTGGGTGACACAGACAGACAGACACATACAAACTCATGCACATAGACAGACAGACAGAAAGACGCACAAATAGACAGACAGACAAACACCCTTAGAAAGACAAACAATAGGCAGAAACATACACACACACACACGCACACACACACACACACACACACACACACACACCTGATCATAATATAAATTGCACCCCTCGTCTTCACACAGTATTAAGTTAAACCGTATATAAAAGTTTCTATTGCTAAGTGTAGTGACCTTACTTTTAGGTCACTTTTGGGTCACTTTTAGGTCACTTTTAGGTCACTTTTAGGTACTTTTTTTAGGTGTAGAAATAATCGTCAATACTTATGTTCTTTGTGGGATTAATGGCGCTACTTTTTGGTAGCTTTTGCCGTATATAAACTCTAATCAGATAGTTTGGTTTAGTTAGTATGGTGATAATATTTTCTGCTATCTTAAAACCCTTCAAATATATCTATGGTCACCTATAAATTGTTGTTGACGGTAGAGTCTCAGTGTTAATTTTGTCTCCTAACTGGTGCTAAGTGAAGGTATCTAGTTAAGGTAGAGTCTCAGTGTTAATTTTGTCTCCTAACTGGTGCTAAGTGAAGGTATCTAGTTAAGGTAGAGTCTCAGTGTTAATTTTGTCTCCTAACTGGTGCTAAGTGAAGGTATCTAGTTAAGGTAGAGTCTCAGTGTTAATTTTGTCTCCTAACTGGTGCTAAGTGAAGGTATCTAGTTAAGGTAGAGTCTCAGTGTTAATTTTGTCTCCTAACTGGTGCTAAGTGAAGGTATCTAGTTAAGGTAGAGTCTCAGTGTTAATTTTGTCTCCTAACTGGTGCTAAGTGAAGGTATCTAGTTAAGGTAGAGTCTCAGTGTTAATTTTGTCTCCTAACTGGTGCTAAGTGAAGGTATCTAGTTAAGGTAGAGTCTCAGTGTTATTCTGATGCCATATTGGATAATTCTCTACCGGTGCTTATGTCAGGAAAATTATTTTAACGCATCACCTGAAGAATCCCCACCCCAGCTTATTTCCCTTGAAGATTAGCCACCCTAACACTGTTTGAGGGATGAAGCTAGGGCAGGATAGATTAGGTATGTCTGGGTTAGATTTGGATAGATTGGGTCACGTTAAATTTGGTTAAGTTAGGGTAGGATAGTTTCGGATAGATTAGGTTAGGTTATATTTAGTTAGGTTAGGTTAGGTTAGGTTTGGTTAGTTAAGGTTAGGTTAGGTTAGGTTAGGTTAGGTTAGCCTTAGGGTGAGCTAACCTTATACACAGTGAAAAGTCAGACATATGGTGTTGACGGTGTGTATTAGTACTGTCTTGCCTCCTGCTGTAGTGTGTATGATGCCTTGAGGTGGAGTGTTGTGATGTGAAGGGTGTGCTGGTGGTGGTGGTGGTGAAGTGTTGGGGCAATGGGTGGTGGTGGTGATGTGTTGGAGCATGGGTGGTGGTGAAATGTTGACGAATAAGATGATGGAAGGGATAGGAAGAGGAGAGTAGGGGAGGGGACAAAGAAGAAAAGGAGATAGACGAGGAGAAAACGACTAGATAAGAGGAGGGAAACACAATGAATGATGGAGGAAGGAAAGAGAGAGAGAGAGAGAGAGAGAGAGAGAGAGAGAGAGAGAGAGAGAGAGAGAGGACCTTGGTAGATTATGGAAACAGAAGTCACAGGGAACCATACATTATAATACACAGGATGTTACATAATCTGGACACTATAATGACTATGTGAGGTAAGAGTGTTCCTAATGTCCCTCGGATTATGGTGAAATTTCAAGATGGAGTTATAAGAGCCAGGTTAATTAGTTCTTACCTGTAACTCCACTAAATAAGGTCCAGGTGAAGGTGTATAATGATTAAGTACGCAGTGTGACTTTTAGGGAGTTCCAAGTATGCTGACAGAATAGTGATGTTGATGCCTTAACCTCGAACAGTGAATAAGTGTGTGGACGATTGCACGAATTACAGATAGTTACAGGTACAGTAATTTACAGGTGGTTACAGCGGATGGAACTGATAACATATACGAGATATTAAGATAATTATTAGTGTAGTCTTTCTCCTCTTTATCATCATCTTCCTCTCCTCCTCATCTTCCTCTCCTCCTACCATCTTCCTTCCTCTCCCTCCTACCATCTTCCTCTTCCTTCAATCTTCCCACCATCCTCCTCCTTCTTCTTTCAATTTCTTCAACTGGTCCCGCACTCTTCCTCCCCTCCACCGTCCTTCTTTTCCTCCTCCTCCCCACCACCTCCCCTCCTCCTCCACCAGCCCCCCACCACCTCCCCCACCACCCTCCCCCACCACCCCCCTCCCCCACCAGCCCCTCCCTCCCCCACCAGCCTCCTCCCCCACCCTCCTCCCTACCACCTCCCACCAGCCTCCCTCCTCCCCACCAGCCCTCCTCCCCACCACCCTCCCTCCTCCCCACCAGCCCCCTCCCTCCCCCCACGACCTTGCTGCACCTCCTAATAAACATTCACTCTTTTCCCTGATGCTTATGATTTACGACGTGACACCCGGACCACCGCCTGGCTCTCTTAACTGCTAATACTACTTCTGACCAACTAGATGTTCGTGTAGTAAACAATGAAGTCCTTGGGATGGCTTTGTCGGGTGTCCTTGGTGAAATGGCCTTGTTTTTACTATTGATGTATACCTGGACCGTCTACTGTTGGTATATTGGGAAATTGTATACCTGCAGTGCCTAAGTATACTGTATTCCTGTGTTGTCTATATACTGTATACTGAACTCCATACACGATGTGTCCATATAAATGCCAAACCAATTGTAAACTTGTATGGTGATTTTACTTAATAACAACAATGATATAATATTAATAAGAATAATGATAATAATAATAATAATAATAATAATAATAATAATAATAATAATAACATCATCATCATCATCATCATCATCATCATCATTATTTGGTGTAAGGTATCAACAAGATCTATGTAAATAAAAAAATTATTACTCAAGCTCATGGGATCACTTTAGTAGGGCATGGACAAGCAGGAACCAGTGATCCACCTGTCCGTACCTGATAGCCAAGTCTGACCTCACGATATATGAGAGAAAACGGTACAATATTCCCACTACACCTTCCAACATGACCTCTCAATTTCAAGTAGTTCAAGCATTTTGGGGAGGTTTAAAAGGTCAAAGGTCAAAGGTCAAAGGTCACAATTATCCTAAAAAGGGTATTCATTACCTGAGTGTGTGTCGACCTCTCCTCGCTCAAGTAGCTGTTTAGATTCAAGTCACACTCAACCCTGAGACTCGAGGTTGATCTGGTAGAGAGTGAAATGAGTCAGGTTTCTCCGCTACTCATATCATATTAATTTATTACTAAAGTATGTATGTTTGTATGTATTGTGTATGTATGTATGTACTGCATGTGAGTATTGTATGTATGTCTGTTTATGTATGTATGTATGTAGTCAGTCAAGGTTTTGATTGAGGCCACGTTAATGTTTACTACCTCAGCTGTTTAGTGATTACCTGTGATAATTTAGATGATGATGTTGCTTCTTATAACCTTCCCTTCCTCTTCTTCCTCTTCCTTATCCCTTTCCCTATCTTCCTGACCCTCTTCCTGACCCCCCCCCCCCTCCTTTTCCTCGTCTACCTCCCTTCAGGTATTCAAAGACCCATCAACAAACTTTTATAACTTAGAATTTTTTTTTATTAACTCGACCTACCTGCCTACCTGCCCACCTGCCCACCTGTGATAAAAGGGAAAGGTGTGAGTGTGTGTGTTATGTGTGTGAAGGTTACCCGGGCACACCTGAGCCATTGTTGTTGTTTTCATGTATTCCTACGCGTCAACAAATAAGGTCTTGAAGCTGGTGTTGTAAGTAGATCCTCAAGTGCGTACTCTTAATATCTATCCACACACACGCCATAGACCACAAGCTGGACTGGAAGGCCCATGTAAACAACACAATCAAGACAGCCTCGTACCGACTCTACATGCTACGACGACTCAGGTCACTTGGGGCACCCACGCCAGAGCTGAGGACTATCTACAACGCCTTTATTCTCCCCAAACTAACGTATGCGTCACCAGCCTGGTCGTCTTCTCTCAACTCTACCCAACAACGTCAGCTAGACAAGGTACAGAAGAGGACCTGCAGAATCATGCCC